GGATATAAAAATGCAGAGTTATGTCGTTCTATACAGTATATTTTTGAAAAACGCTTAGTGTATGAAAAATGCCTAGAGAAAAACATGGCGGCACCGTGGCGTACAAATGGTTTTCTATTATGAATTTTAGCAAGTGATAAATAAATGTGCGATTCAAAATGGATTTTATAATTTAATTTTGAAGTTGACAATGTTTGAGCTTGAATAAATATAAGTATTGTTGGCAAGTAGTTTCAACGTTTCTTAAAGTTAGTGTAAATGGATGATTAATATTCGAAAACGTACAGGCCTGACGTTATTTGTTTACAAACACAGCCCATATCTGCGATAGGTAATTAATATTCAGTTAGCGCTTTTAAGGAAAGTTCAACATAAACAAGAAAACCTCATAATCCGACGGTAAAGCACATTCTGCACATTAAGCTTTGAGCTTGCAGCGTAATTGTAAACGAGCACAAGTATGTTGTTGCAGTTTAGCAAATTAATGGATTTAAAATAACAACTGGTCTTTTGTTTATGTTTGTTAACAGCAATGAGTGCTCTTGCAACTTTGTAAAGAACAACACAATGACGGCAGACCCTTTCAGAAATTAAATACCTAGCGTGTAATTCGCACCGTTGGCGTTGCTCTCATTTTTAGCCTGGAAATTTATAAACGGTACGTTTACCTAAGTTTGATTATGAAATGCGAAGCACGAACTTGATAACATCTTTAATCATACTGAGATAAACAATATAATGTAGGACCCACTTCTCGTGAGGGAGGACGATTTATAGTGTCTGCGTGCTAAATCACAATTAATCGTGGTTTCTTATTAATAAAGATAAATTTTAATGAAGTTTGTGTATCTTTACTGTTTCTTTATAAGTTAAAATTGACCTTTCGTAAAAGCTTCCAGTCACAAAATCCATCTTGAGTATTTAATTAAGTATGAAGCAAATGTACCTACAACAATGAAGTGAATTGTGGTTAGTAGTGCTATTCAAGTGTCCCTGCAACACACCGTTTTCGAAATATTCGCTCTTAAAATTTGGACATTACCAATCGTTATATTCCTTCCAGCTTTCCCGATCGCCCTTTTTGAGAACCCTCCTCCGACACTTCGCTCTAGAGATATTAGAACCAATGACGTTAAGGGGTCGAGAAGGAGGACTGTGGTTGGCAGAAATTAATCCGTTTCATTGAGACCTTTCAGTAGAGTACTATAAAGGATAAAATCAGTACTCCCCCATCCCACGATTTTGATAAGGTGTAAGGGAGAAGGGTGATAGTTGATAGAAGACAGTTCCATTCGTTGAGACCTTTAATAAGATTACCATGAAGAATAAAAATAAACTCCCCGTCACCCTTTCGATGAGATATTTCGTGGTACCACTAGAGGCAAGCGTATGCAAAATTTGAGGTAAATTGGTCGTCGTATGTGAAGGTCGTTTAATAATAATAATAATAATAATAATAATAATAATAATAATAATAATGTTTATTTCAACCAAAAAAAAAACAGAAAATGGGGAAAAAAATACATACAAAAATAGAAATAACGCAAAAGGTGGAAAAAGGACCACATTCAGTGAGTAAGCACTGCTCACTTCCACGGTATAGGTTACAAATTGCAAAACATTCTAGGACAATTCCCCTAAAAATCTCAGACGTGGGTCTGGACGGATAGACGGGCGGACGGACAAAACGCAAATAATTGCACATTTTTTTCATTTTTAAATAATAATCATATATATAATTCATTGTAAAGCTTCTGACTATCCGGAATTTAATTAACGTCAAAAATAGCAAACATAGGTTCTGCCGCCGCGGTCGTTACCATGGAAACAGCATTACCATGTTCTGAACGTCATTTTAAAAATGACAGATGCCATTAGAATGCATAATCATCTGTTTCACTTTATCTACCCTTGAGGTTAAACACTCACGGTTAAAGAGCGACTTAGCCTACCCATCCAAACCTATTAAAATGTCAATTTAACATCAGCTATAAAATAAACTATCATTAATAAATGTTCGATTTAGTTGGTAATGTGAGCGATGCTCTTGATAAAGACTTTAAAGGGGGGGTGGGGGGTGCTTTCTCCCGTTGACTAGACCTTTTTTCAATAACCTTACTTTATATTTTGGTGTTTGGAGTGAAGATCCTTACATAGTCTCGTGAGGTCTTCTCTGCGCTACTGTGATGCGTTCGCTCGTTTGTCACTACACTCTCCACTACCTATAAAATTGTTTCCTCGCGGAAATCCATGCGTATACCGTAAGTTAGATTCCGTTTTTTAAGGTTCTTTCAAAATAAATATACTACACTAATATGGGTATATACATGGTGGTCATTAAAGATGGATCCGAAGCTTTCACGCCCCAATCTATTGAGATATAGAAATGAAAATTAGAACGCTTCCATTTGGAATTATTTCTAATATTTTGAGGTTAAAGAAATTTTCACACATAGTTTGAGTGCGACCGCCATCTTGCATTTTTTTAAATGCCAACATTGGTCATGTGATACGTCATTATGGCTCAATGGTAGAGCGTTGAGTTATAAATCCGGAGGTCGGGTGTTCGAACCTGGGTTGAGGTGCATTTTTCATCTGTGGCAAAGATGGGGATTAGCTTAGACCAGTTTCGAGCATACTGCCGGCTACTCCGAATTAGGTTTTCCTGCAGTTTTCCTAATTCGTAAGGTAAATACCGGAGTAGTATGGAACAACTTAAGACTTTCTACAGAGGCACCTTTAAAAAGCATTATGCGAGCCACTCTGTAATTCAGCGCAAGCCTGTTGAGGGCCTAAAACAAGAGAGGGATAATAAATAAAAATAAAATAAATTAGAAAGCCTACTTTCTTTTCTTTCTTGTCACCTTTAGCAGCCATGTATGGTGTTAAATTGGAAAATAATGCAGAAGAATTAGAAAAACCTTGCCATACGCTTGACTGGCTAATGTATTACACTTTAAATGGTACCTTTAAATTAACATAACTTCAAAAATTAACAAAAAAGCAATGAGCACAGTAGATATGGTTTGTTTCCTTACAACTATTGTATTACGTGAGAAATAAATCTTAGTTTTGTGGAATGTGGACCATTTCTCCATTATCTTCTAATTTAATGCCATTAATGATGATGGTAGTCAGAAAAGCGCTTTTCTTAATGATCTATCGCATGATCTATGTTGCTATTAAAAAAATTCAATATGGTGGTCGCATTCAAAAACCATGTGTGCAAATTCTTTTAACCTAAAAATATGTGAATTAATTTGAAACGGAAGGGTTCTATTTTCATATTTACATTTCAACGGTTTGAGCGTGAGAGGCTTGGTTCCATCTTTAATAGCGAACCTATATACAGGGTGACAATTTGAAAACTTACCACCCCCCATATCTTAGTAAATAAACGAGATATTAAAAAAAATCACAATCCGTTTCGGTAATTCGGAGGGGGAATCACAATGACATAGTTGGCGACGCACCCCCTCCAACTCCCTGCGCCCCAGTCACCCCAACTTTTAAATCTTAAATAGGGACCCCCCATGTGTGATACGTCGTTGGAAAGCTCTGAAAAAATGCTTTCCAACCATACCAAATAGCATTACATTTAGGTTAGCAAATTTTCGTGCAAATCAAAAAATAAACTAATATGATACATTTGAAATCTGTCGTATTTAAAACGCAACCGGCGAACATAGACGAACTAAGACAGAGAATAATTCAAGAATGTCGAAATATTGCAAAACCAACATTTGAAAAGGTTCGACAAGAGTTTGAGAATAGATTATAACTGGCGATCAAAAATGAGTTGCTGTCGAGTCGGCTTTGGAAGTTCAAGTTAAATACGATTTTCCATGTAAACAAAAATTTCAAAGGGCGACTCGACAGCAACTATTTTTGATCGCATAGTAATACTGTCTTACCAAGAATGGAAACCATTTTGAACATTTATTGAAATAAAAGCCAACTTTAGAAAATGTATCATATTAGTTGATTTTTTGATTTGCACGATAATTACTAACCTAAATGTAATGCTATTTGGTATGGTTGGAAAGCATTTTTTTAGAGCTTTCCAACGACGTATCACACACGGGGGGTCACTATTTAAGATTTAAAAGTTGGGGTGGCTGGGGCGCAGGGGGTGTGAGGGGGTGCGTCGCCAACTATGTAATTGTGATTCCCCCTCCGAATTACCGAAACGGATTTTGATTTTTTTAAATATTTTGTTTATTTACTAAGATATGGGGGGTGGTAAGTTTTCAAATTGCTGAGTGCGATACAAACAGAATTTAATACCCCCAGTATTCGCCATTTATTTTACCTAATATAAGTAGTACAAAAATGTCAGATACGGAATAATTCTCGCGAATTCTAATAAGTCTTCCCAAGAAACAACGGAAGGGACCACCCTTCTAAAATGATTGAAGCGTCCTAAAAAGGATCTACTATTCCACCTTTAGCCGAGCGTGTGGGGTATCGGTTCACCAGTATTTACCTACCATTACCATATACATTTGAGCTAAACCAAACAACCGATAATCATTTGCCCTGCATTTGCTTTGAACGCTGTATAACCAAGAAATGCTTTACACCCCCAGTATTGTGATTATATTATTATATTATGTATCTTGTAGCCGTTCTACTTTCACTATATACAATATACATATGTATAAACGGACCTTTGTTAATACCTAAAGTTTTAGATATTAAAATGAAAATTAAATTCCTGTCTTAATTGATATACGACCTACTCACCTTTAGATATTAACAGTATTCCCACTTACTAACTTAGACCTTGCTTGATGTATAACGCAGATGAATAACAACCCTCGTTGACCGGTTTCCATTAATCAACTTTAAGGAAAAAATATCGGCGTGCGGTCTTTGCAAATAAACAAATGTAATTTATGGGACACAATCGATAACCGAAAAGCCTCGAATAAAATTAATTATACCGCATGAAGCAATTTTTTACCACCAATCCTATTTATGTTTTTTTTTTGTTGCAGATTCGATGGATTTCCTAGATTTTCATTAATGGAAATGGCGCGTTTTCGAAACAAAGGTGACGACAACAAACATTGCGTGCGATATTTAGCGGCTCACATTGCAGTACATTAAATTTTATTTTACTGTCGCTTTGGTTTAATGGTATGTAAAATCAATGGATTTATGTCCGCCTAACAAAGGCACAACATCGTTACATGAAGTGAACTGAACAATCGTATATTAATACCATCCCGTGCGACAAGTACTTATCTAATCCATATATTGCAACCATTCGGTCGACAATTCAATGTAGATTAATTGATTATAAGAAATTTATGGGCTCCATAGAGTTTATGTGCGCGCTCGAATTACGATAAACTGTTTTTTTGGGAGAAAAAGCATGATTCTGTGAAAGTGTTTCAACATGACCGCCTATGGAGCACCACTTTTATTAAGTAACGGTTAGTAACCATTTGTGACATTATGGAAGTAGGCAACTGGATATTCTTTGGGTTTATTATTCTACATCTACTATTAACCTCAATGGCAACCGAAGGTACGTACCACTCTCCTGTAATTTACATTTGTAGGTTTCCAAGAAGAAAATGCTCAATTTTGTGGAGAATTTAATTTCTAATATTAAAGCAAACGCGAAAAAACAAATATTGTTTTAAAAAGGCGAAAAAGTTTATGTAATTAAATTTTCCCGTCGTGTAAACTAAAGTACCACCAGTTTTGTTCTCCCGCATTAAATTCCAACTTCATAAACTCTTTTAATTTCTGTTTTGTCTATGCCATAGTGCATTTGGCTTATATGTACAGCAATTTCGCTAACGGCTAATTTGGCGAATTGAAAATATTCAAACATTGAGCAATTACATCGTCGTAATTAAAAAATATAGGCCATTAGTAATAACTAAGTAACTAATTTAAAATAATAATAAACTTTACGTTTAGTAGGTAGGTATGTAAATGTTTGTACTACGATATCCACCTTTACATTACAACAGCCTTTTTTTTTGGCTCCTAAGCCCTTTTTCTCGAAGCTTTGATCGCTTATTTATAAAAAAACAAACTAAGTTTAACACACAAAGTTATCAGTACTAAACCTTTACATTAAATAGGTATAGTACTTAAGAGTAATAAGGCGAGCTACCGGGGTCTAGTACAGTTTAGGAAATATGACACTGTTTCTATACCTTATGGTGAAGCACTGAAGAAACTGTACAGATTTTGGGCAGATCGAACAAATTTCGCCTCTGGAACGGCTTTGCACGTGTGGCAAAACACTAAGTTCTTATGAGCGCTAGATAGCACGGTGGTACGATTTTTGAAAAAGCGCCAGGACTCCAGTTCAAACTCTTGTATATTCAGTTTCGTGAACTAAATAAGGTTCACAATTGGATCTACAGAAAACAACTTATAAGCAGCAGCATCGAAAATAATGCGTAATTTATCAGGCTTATTTGGATTAATAATACTGCGATGAGGTACCAGATCTTGTTGGATTTATCTTCTATATTTCATTGTTATTCAGTTTTCGTATAAACTGATGTGTCCAAGATAAGAATTTCCATCATGGGGATTTTTCAAACCACAGAAGATACGACAATGGTCAAATTGGAGAAACGATGTACAATTAAAGGGTTATTAAGAAAAAACAAGAAAATCCCGATTACTTCCGAAGGATATGCCGAAATTTTCCGATTTTGCTTATATTTTTTTTTTCTAATGTTATTTGAACAGAGACAAAAAACACTTTCTCATTGCCTTTTTTTGAGCTCTACAAGACACCGTCGGGAGATTTTCAATGTAATTGGGCGCCAGTATGTTGAGGGTCCAGAACAAGAGAGCGATAATAAATAAATGCAGCGTTTCGTTTTGGGTTTTGGGGAAATCATTTTTATTTTTTTATATGGCCCGTAAAAAATGTACATACTGTATTGATTAGCATTTTTTATTACGAATACAACGATGTACGGCATAAAAAAAACATGTTTCAACAGGATGGTGTACCCGCACACAACGCCTAAATGGTGTTAGAAAACCTATCGTACAGGTTTCCTGGAAAATGGAAAATATGTGCGATATAGAATATGTAGTCTAACCGTGCACTGAATTCTATGTACAGGGAGATCAATAATCATATGCTGCGCCGCTCTTATAAAATATCACATTAGTAATCATTTGCCGCAACCAGGTATATGTGTACCAATACAAAACATAACCTATAATTTTACAAACCAAAACCATGATTTGTGATTCTTATTCGAATACTTTCGTCCCTTTCAAAACGGCTTTTTTCAAGACTACCAGTTTCTTTCGAATATTTACAAGGTGGGTAAATTACTTGTAAATTACAAACAAACGTTTTTTTAGTTGTAGCGTGTAATAGGCAATAGGTTTACTCCGACAAGCCTTTTACTTTAGAAGAGAATAAGATGCGTTTGCTGTCCTGTTTCCGTAATGGGACTAAAGACGAAAGTGGAGTTTGGGAGTACTCGATACGTTTGTGTATACAGGAGTTTCGATAAACGATTGTCAACCATGACGAGGTTCTTGCTCGTCTTGAGCAAAGTCGGAAAAAGCAGCTGCGACAATTTGTCCCACTAACGGGCATCTCATACGGAACGTGTGACGCTATTGCCTGGAGAAAATTGTACTTCTATCCTTTAAAGTAACCGTGATACAAGAACTCATCGTCCAGACTTGCAAAGCCGTTTAAATTATTGCATGCAAATTTACGAGATGGCAACGTATTCGAAATCGTTTACACACCATTGCCGAATTCCGAGCAGGTATAGAAGCTGCCGTTTGAAACATTACGCAACAGCACTTACATGCCTGCTTCGAAAACATGAAGAAAAGAGTGAATCCCTGTCTTAATAATGGTGGCGAGCACTTCGAACAGTTGTTATAGTGTGCATGTAATTTACCCAATTACTTCGATATTAACGAGTTGTAAAAGAAATAAAATCGTTTCAATTTTTGTAGTAATTCGTTATTCGTGTAGTTCCACATAATTTGGAAACTTACAAGGTGGTTAAATCGTTGATTTAGGTTAAATATGGTTAAACGTCAAAAGTTTACTTTAAGGTTATGTTTTAGTATTGGTGCACCAGGCCTGTTGCGGCAAATGATTACTAACGTCATAATTTATTTAAGCGGCGCAGCAACTCAATATTGATTGCACTGTATTTAGGTTGTTGAAGGGTTTTGCTAGAAGTATATTCCTTCCAATTTAATTTCTGTGAGTTTGGTAATTTATTCAATAGTTATTGAAGTACAATTGGATTTCGTAAATGATCCTTTTGACTTAGTTTCCATTGTACCTACATTTTTGACATTGTCAGAAAAATTAATGAACATGCCAAGCTGATCTTCTTTCACTGTGTGCACTAAGAGCATAAAGACTAATAATATAGGACGGCCAAATCTTTTGGTATCAATAATTTTGTCCACATTCTATGGTAATATAAGGAGACTCAATAATCTTTATAGCATTACCTTTCCGTCATTTTTGTAATCTACAATGGATTCTATTCTATTGTATAACCACAAATATCTGTCCAATTTTCATACTGAAATATATATAATTCTAATTCTTCCAAGATCTTTTAAAATTTATAACTTTATTCTGACGCTTTTACCAAAAATAAGGTCGTAAATGCTAGAAAATGGAAAAGTTACGCTTAAAATACGTCCGTCTATCTCATTTTGACTTTTGGAGAATTAACTTTTCCATTTAGCTTTAAGAAACAATTGTATACGCACAAATCTCCACAATTAGAGTGACGGCGTTAATAATTAACGAATTACTCTAAAACAGTCATTTTGTACTAAAAATATGGCACGACACATTAATTGGTAATATGAGCTAACGAGAAATAATTCTGATTACTGAATTACTTATTAGCTGGAGCTCTTTTCAAATCTTCGTGTCTTAGAATACTTTTTAATTGAATCATTTACGTTTCTCTTTGTAGGTTGGAATAATGATGCGACGCAATTTTTCATTTGACTTCGTTATTTTTTTAATTTTCGCTATATTGTCAGTCCAATTACCATCATGTTAAGGGCCGGTATTATAAAGCCCGCTTGAACGGAGATTGGCCTTCAATCGTAGTTTGAGTGTGATTGCACGTATTATAAACGCCGTTTGAGTCTTAACCAGAGCTCAATCTCCAATTATAGTCAACCCGCCAATTTTCTCGGGTTTTGCTGCCCAAACGGAGATTAGGCGCGCGAACGCGTAGAGATTAAAATTATCCTAACCAGTTTACTTTGTTTTGTGTCATTGTTTCTGTTTATAATGAAATCGAAATAATTGGAATTGGACGTGCAAGAGGTCGGTTACTGTGGGCAGTAAGCGACGATGACTCTTCATCAGAGGATGAGTTCATTAGAAGAGCAGAAATGTTAGAGAACGTGTTGATCATTTCTGCAGGTGGGATGAAGAGGAATTTCGGCAGAGATTTTGGGTATCCAAGGATAATAGTTACATCCCTAGAAAACAGGATTGGAGCACTAATTGCCTCCCAAACAAAAAGGTAGATTTGTGCTTTTCTATGGAAGTTCTATTATTTTTGCGATTTTGCACAACTGGGTGTGTTAATTAATTAATAATTGTCCATCAATGGTCAGCCTGTCGTCACCAGATCCAGATTCATTACCATCAGTGAGGTTTTTCACTGTGCTAGATCATATTTTGTCTTCAGTTGCTCAAGTGTGCGTGGCTCAGTCGATGCAGCGTTATACTTCTCCGCAATTTTCTTCCATGCTAGGATGTAAACACAGAATGATTAGGGATAAAGATGCAAACAAAGCGCTTACAACTGATGATATCCTGACGCTTTACCTTTGTGCTTGGTAGTAGAGGCGGCCGTCCGTTTATTTTCAATTATATGTAAATATGACTGAACGCAGTCCGTGTCCGTAAAAGCAATTCGCTTTTTTCCCTTGTCTATCATTGGCACAGTGGCAGGCAGAACAGGGCTATGTAAAACGATTTAGCAAGGAGATGAACAGATCAGCACAGTGACAGTGGCAGAGACATATGGCACAGAAGCGAAAAGAACGAGCGGCGCGGGCGCGATGGGTGCGAAGAACGTAAACGTCATCAGCTGTCAGCTGACGCATCGGCCACTGAAACTTCTGCGCTTTGATTGGTCCTCGGTTCGCCGGCAGTGTTACCATACTAGGGATCGTAAACTCAAACGGAGATTACCCAAACGCTCTTCCCAAGGTGTTTATAATACGCAACCGCTCTCAATCTTGGTTTGACGTTCAATCGCCGTTTGATTAATCTCCGCTTGAACTGTACTTTTATAATACCGGCCCTAAATGTATGAAAGGAGGTCATTCCGGGTAAATAAACAACGCAAATTGGTATCATAGAAGATGAAGTAACGATAATTTGGCTGTAACAAAGTAGATACCAAGGCAGAACTTAATTATTTCGATTACTCTTCGTACTTCATCCATAAACATAAGCCTTTATGAAGAATAGAATGGCAGTAACCTAATAAAGTGCAATTTCGCAGGCGACTCACGATT